CCCCCTTCGCCCGGCCCGGTTGCCCCGCGGCGGCGGCAGCCCCGGCAGAGCGCACGGCCGCGGCCCGGAGATGGGCGCTGGCAGCGGCGGCGGCGCGAGAGAAAAGTTTCCGGCACCGCGCGGCTCCCCACCCGGCGCGCTATTGTCGGGGGTCGGCGGGCCGGAGGCCGCCCCCCAGCGGCGGGAGCGGGCAGCGGCCTTCGCACAAAGGCTGCAGCCCCCGCCCCCCGACAGCCGCGGCGGCGCAGCTCCCGGACCCCTTGCGGTCCCTCACCCCGCGACCTGGCGGCCAGAGCCGAATACCGTGAACCGGCGGGTACGGTACAAGGCACTCCGCTCATTAATGCACCCCATTTTCTGAACCGAGCAATACTTCGTGCCTGGCGCAGCTCTTGGGTGCCGGGGATCCCGGGGATGAGCAGGCGGTCTGAGCCTTCTGAGGGTACAAAAGAAAGGGTGCGGTGGGAGGCCGGGCAGGAGGACACAACCCCCACCCACCCCCCCACCCCCCCACCCCCGCATCTCGTCTCACTCCATTGTCGGAATCCGTCAGCGACCCCCCCACCCCACCCCCCACACAGTCGCCCAAGCCAGACTTCCAGAAGTCACTCTAGAAAGTGGCCAGCGAGCTGAGGAGGCCGGTGGTCTTGGCCATCCTGCTGTCCCATCCTGCCACATTGCCACACAATGCTGGTACACAGAGCTCCTCTTGAAAACAAGCTATTATCATTTTAAAATTTCCTTGTTGATTTTAGTAAGTTTGCATAAAGAAGAGGTGACCGTATCACTTTGGTTTTTCCGTTTTTAAAAATAGCAGCTTTATGGAGATCTCATTCCTATACCATAAAATTCACCTGCTAAAGTGTACAATTCAGTGGTTGTTAGTGTATCCACATAGTTGTGCAACCACCGCCACTATCTCATTTAACAACGTTTTCCTCACTTGCCAGGAAGCCGGTAAAGCGGTACTCATCAGCAATTACTTTCCCCTCCACACTGGCAGCCTTAGGCAACCCCAACTCTACCTGCTGCCTCTACGGGTTTGTCTGTTCTGGAAATTCTATTATTTATTTATTTAAAGATTTTATTTATTTATTTGTGAGAGAGAGAGCACACAAGCGGGGGGAGGGGCAGGCAGAGGGAGAAGCAGGCTCCCGGCTGAGCAGGGAGCCCCATGCGGGTCTCGATCCCAGGAGTCTGGGATCGTGACCTGAGCGGAAGGCAGACGCTTAACCGACTGAGCCACCCAGGCATTCCTGTTCTGGAAATTCTATCTAAAGGCCGTCCCATCCAATCAATAAGTGAGGTTTTTGTGACTTCTTTCACTCAGCATAGTGTTTTTAAGGTTCATCCATGCTTTAGAGTGTGTCAAAACTTCCTTTCTTTTTATGGCTGAATAATATTCCATTGTGTGGCTATATCACATTTTATTTATCCATTCATCAGTTGGCGGACACTTGGGTTGTTTGCACGTTTTGGTTCTTACGAATAATGCTGCTGTGAACATTTGTGTAAAAGGTTTTGTGTGGACAGAGGTTTTCAGTTCTCTTGGGCATGTCCCTAGGAGTGGAATTGCTGGGGCTCCTGGTAACTGTGTTTGAGGTTTTGAGGAACTGCCAGACTGTTTTCCAAAGTGGCTACATTATTTTACAGATTCATTTATATTTAAAGTTATGACCACTCACAGGAGAAATGAAAACACTGTTTGTCAGATATTGTCAGGCTAGGAGCTGAGGACAGGTTTTTTGTTGTTGTTGTTTTAAAAGATTTTATTTATTTTAGAGAGAAAGAGTGTGAGAGAGGGCATGAGTGGGGCGGGGGGGGGTAGTGCGGAGGGGCAGAGGGAGAAGCAGACTCCCCCCTGAGCAGGGAGCCAGACCCCAGGCTCCATCCCAGGACCCTGAGATCATGACCTGTGCCGAAGGCAGGTGCTTAACTAACTGGCCACCCAGGCGCCTCTGAGGACATGTTTTTGAGAAAAACAGACAAGTCTCTACATTCATGGAGCTTACAGTCCAGTAGGAGAGAGAGACATCAATCAAGCAATAGAACAAGCAAAAGTAAAACGAAAATATGTTATTCAAAAGAAGGGGCCAAAATTAAAATATGGAAATGATTAAGATAAAGTGATATAAAATGAATACCAACTAAGGCAAGATTAAAAGGTTAAATTAAAAGGAAAAAATCTCTCTCGCTTTTTCTCAAATACATAAAATCTTAAAAAAAATAAAATAAAAGGAAAAAGTATAGTAGCCAAGTTTCTCAGGGACTATAAACAAATACCCACAGTCTGATGGCCCTGCCTGCTGGTTCTTTGTGGGTTCTTCGGGCGCACCTGTGGATACTGACCTGTGATTGCTTGGATCCTGGGTTACTCTGGTGACATGGCCTACCTACTGTTCCCAAAAGAGAATCCATTCCATGAACTCTGTCGCTAAAACGAGGACAGACCCTGCCTGTGTCCTCTCACAAGGTTCCCGTAGGGCACAGCTACCTTATGCTCTGCTTTGTTGAGGCTTGAGGACGCCAGAATTTAATTTGATTTGCTTCTTATTAGAACTTCCCTGTCCCTCAGGCTCAGTATAAGCCCTTGGAGGCTGGGCCCAGTTGAACAAATTGCTTCATTCCTCCCCACCCCACCCTAGACCAGGTTTACACACCTCAGCAGTTTTTCCTTAGAGTGGTTAGTTCTCAGCCTTTTCAGTGAACTCTTTGAGAATTTGGAGAAAACCTCAACCCTAAAAAATAGGAACATGTGTGCACACCCACGCAGTTGTTCATGTAATCTTAAGGAATTTCTGGAAGTCCTGAAATGCAACTGTAGATTTTGTGGAAGACGAGACCCCAGACTAAAAACCCCTCGTTTCAGGGGCACCTGGGTGGCTCATTCGGTTAAGCGTCTGCCTTCAGCTCAGGTCATGATCCCAGGGTCTTGGGATCAGGTATTGGACTCCCTGCTCAGTGGAAAGCCTGCTTCCCCCTGCTTGTGCTCTCTCTCTCTCTCTACTCTCGCTCTATCCCAAATAAACAAATAAAATCTTAAAAAAAACAAAAACCCTCATTTAAGGGGTTAAGCCCTGAGTCCCCTCCCAAAGCACTGGGGGCGGTGTGGTGCATAGATGGAGGTGTGGGGATCACTCAGCCGGCCTGTCAGAAAACACCCCTGCTGAATCCAGCTCTCTGGGCACGTGTGCTTGGAATCTGCACCGATTCATCATTTCCTGTGGCTGCTCTAACAGATGAGCATACACTTAGTGGCTTAAAATAACAGAAATATATTCCCTCCCAGTTCTGAAAGCAGGTTCCCTGGACCACAATCAAGGGGACTCTAGAAGGGGAATCCATTCATTGTCTCGCTTCATCCTGTGTCTGGTGGCTGCCAGCGCTCCTTGCTTGAGGCCTCATCACTTAACTCTGTCTCTGCCTCTGCGCTCACATTGGCCTTGTGTCAGATCTCCGTCTCTTTCCTATAAAGATTGCATTTGTGACCTGCTCACATCATCCACGTTACACCCCCCATCTCAAGATCCTTAACTGAATCACATCAGTGGACTCGTTTCCCATATAAGGTTCCAGGGATTATGACCTGGTATTTTGGGGGGCCATTAGTCAGCCTACGACACTGCCTTCCCACAAGCTTCCTATGAGATTCTTATGAGAAACGCGGACTCATGGAGATGGCCCTCAGTGGGGGGCGGACAGGCTGTGGGGAGCTCTTGCCAGTCCCTGGACATGTTGGCTCACAGGAAAATGCAATGGGAAGAATGTGGGCTTTGGAGCCTCCTGAAGCAGTCCTCCCTGCCCAGGCTGCTCTGTGTCCTGGTTCTGGAGGGGCACAAGCCCCTGGGCCTATACTCCTCCTCAGCTAGTGCACCCCTCAGAGTGGGATGAGTGCTGTCTTTCTGCCAGGCTGGGAGCATCTTCAGCCAGGGCTTTCTAGTTCCTATCCGTATCGCCAGCACCTGATTCAGTGCTTAGCACATAATAAGGAAAATAGTTACTGAACGAATGGATTTTTTTTTTTAAAGATTTTATTTATTTATTTGACGGAGAGATAGCACAATAGGCAGAGTGGCAGGCAGAGGGAGAAGCAGGCTCTCCGCTGAGCAGGGAGCCCGATGCGGGACTCGATCCCAGGACCCTGGGATCATGACCTGAGCCCAAGGCAGACGCTTAACTGACTGAGCCACCCAGGTGCCCCGAACTGACATGATATGTACTGTAGTAAGAGCATGTTTACGATGCTCCGGTGCCCCCACCATCGTGCATGCGGGTGTGTTGGAAGGGCTTTTAAGAAACCCACAAGCGGGGCTTGGGAGGGTAAGCTTGCTTTTGGCATTAAGTGTGGCACGAGCAAAAGCTGAAGCCCTGCAGGAGAGGTCCTGCAGCAAGGGAGGAGACAGGCAGGAGAGCAGCCACGCCACCCAGTCATCAGGGAAGCAGGACTTCATCCGGTCAGGAACACAGGGTTATATAGGTGAACCTACACCCTCCCTGCTGTGAGGACCCCTCCCAAATTCTGCCAGGACCTTCCAAAGGGCCTTTCACACAGTCGGCCCTCAGGAAGTGAATCAGTTCCTTCACCAGGCTCCTGGAGGCCTGGCAGCTGCCGCACCCAGAAGCTAAAGCTAATGTTCCTTTGGCCACGGTCCAGAGTTTGCCGAAAAGAAAAGCTAACAAGAGGACCGTCACACAGGTCCTCCCTCTGCGGCATTTCCCGTTGGTAGGGGCACTGAGCCCACAGGCTTTGTCCTGGACAAGGAAGGGCTGCGGCAGCCGGGACTGTCCTGCAGGAGCCGGCGGCCGGCACGGCTTTAAGTGCCAGTCTCCTTGGGGGGACAGGCCGGCAGCTCAGCTGCTTCCCTTCTGAGGACATGCTACCCCCTGCCAGTGTGCCTG